GATACTCTAAACACACGTCTAGCGAATAAAATTATTTTGTTATCTTAAAATTGTACAATTGATCCCAAAGTCACGCATATCGTACTCAATAGATTGTTCTTCAAGAATATGGGTTGTTTTAATTCCCAGTRTTGCTTATTTTTTGTCCAGCAGCCGCGAAATTTAAGTCAAAATTTACTGTCGCGAACGGCGTTTTCGGGAGTGTTTGAAAAATTCCATTTTTCTCCATAATAAAGCGTTATTTGATCAAACCAACTATACAGCGATTCTTAGGATACATTACCCTAACTAACTTGAAAGTATGAGCGAAATCGATTTTTCGAAGTTTGCCACGTTTTGCTCGATGGTTACAGACAGTCACTCTGAACAACTGTAATTTACAGGGATCGAGAAGCAAGGGGGGCTGGGGGGCTATAGGCTCCTCAATAATTTCGATGCCATTTTGAATTTTGTGCAATATTTCCATAAATTTAGTGCAAAAAAATGTTTCCAACAWCTCTCAAAATGCTGGAAATCGCATTTCCGAGAGTCGTGATTTCAAAATTTTCAGAGGGGGCATGCTCCAGGACCCCCCTAGTCGCTCTCACCTTCGGTGTTCAATAGCACCCCCAATACAGAATATGCTCCGCATTCCGTTACTGAAGTTCCAACCAAAATAGGAAGTATGGGTGGTCTAGGAGTGAGTGCACTTGCCTTTCATCAATGTGACCTAGGTTTAATTCCCCCCGGCTTCGGTGTTGTATGTGAGTAGAGTTTCTAGTTGGTTCTCTCCTGTGCTTCGAGGGTTTTTTCTCAGTGTTCTCCAGTTTTCCTCCCTCCACAAATTCAACTCCTAAATTCCAATTCAATCATGGAACAAGTTTAGCAGCCATTCAATACTAGTGTAGTCTGCGTCTGAGGGTCTGGGGTAGGGTATTGGGAGGGGAGATGAAGAGGACTACAATATTTTCTCACAAACAACTTGAAGGACACTTCATATATTCCAAGGATTTTTCTTGTAGGACAGTAAAAAAGCAATATTATAAAAATCATAAATTTATAAGCCTGCAAATTTATCAGAGTATAAGTTCTGAGGTATGCCTTTGCTAAATTCTTAAGCTTGTGGGATTGTGGGCCATAGCAATAGTAAATAAGGAAGCCATAACCATCAATAGTAAAGTTTGAAACATTTTTGGTTATGATTTCAATTTTCTATTTTTTTTAGGTTCTTGCTTGTTATAAAAGTTTACATCGAGCAAGGCTGAAGACATTCGTAGGAGATGCAGCAGCACTTGAGGCAGGACGCAAAAGGATTAGACAAGAATTCATCAAAAATAAGAATGAAAAAGACATTACAAAAATAGAGGAACTATTGAAAACTGCAAAGGATGTTGAAAAAATGATGTTACAGTATGTTGTGCAAGGCGTATATAAGGAAAGAGAAAATAAATACCATATTAGGATAACAGAAGATACAGCACTGGAAAAGAATGCTCCTCTGCCAGCAAAGAAATAGTTTGGACTTTAAAAACTCTTTATCTAGGCTCAAATTTACAGCTGTTGGGGTTTTGTTTCCAGCAAAATTGGAGCCTACTGTTTGTCTAGCAGAAATTTAGCCTGGGTTACTTGGCCAGCTGGCAATTGGAACTCTTAAGAATGATGTCCAGGAAATAAACCAAAGAGCTTTTATTTTATAGTTATGTTATAAATATAATTATAAAGTGTATAGCTTTTTTTAAATTTTAATCAACCATATTTCATTTCAATGTTATGTCTCAATCTGCTGAGATGTATTGATTTCTGTTACTTATACCTTAGAGTACTCCTTAATCTTACAGTGCAGTGTAAAACAAGATGAATTTATACATGGACTGAGCTGCCTTCAAAATTATCAAAAATTACAACTATTGTTTTCTATTTTCATTTATGTTTATATTGTAAAAACTAAACACTGGTCTATTCTTAAAGTGATATAACTAGCTAAAAACTAGTGTGAGCTGCATTGGTGTTTCTAATGAAACAGTAATGATGAAAAGGTCAATTATACACCGTGAAAAGATGAAATGCATGCATGCCACCCACGTGTTACTATTTTGGGGATTTTAGTAAGTTTTTTCATCTTTTCACGGTGTATAATTGACCTTTTCATCATTACTATTCTTAAAGTGCTTTAACACAATATTTTCAAAACTGATTTTTTAAATAGTGAATAGTTGGTTGTGAAAATAATTCATCATTTGAATGTCGGGTCTTTAAGATACTAAGGCTTATAATATGTTATAGACTATGATGTAACATAAGGGATTTGAGATATTTTGTGGCAACTTTTAATATTGAACGCTGGACAATTTTTGAAAACAAATTTGTAAGAACCTTAGAAATAATTATTTCTTACTGGTGGGAAAAAATTCAAAAAATAACCACACAGAGTGAAAGAAGTGCTATTTCTCAATGATCGGGTAAAATTTCGAGGCTTTATTTCACGTTTCAATGATTTTATTGAAATTTTTGATGAATCCCCATACATTTTCTTATAACATGGCACCATAGAAACCAAGCTTGGGCTACCTGTGATACTATTCTTAACGATAACATCGTTATGACGTGCATTAGGTCACATGCATGCCACCCACGTGTTACTATTTTGGGGATTTTGAGAAGACGTCAGAATAAATTAAAACTGCGATAGTTTATATAAACCTTTGCATAGCTAGCCTGTCGTTAAACAACAAAACTGAAATTCAGCTGAAAGGAATATTAAATAGTATAAAATATGACTACTCTATTTTAAAGGTCGACATGAGTATCCTTCGGCAAACATATTTTTTACTTCGTAAGAATTTTCAAACCAAAAAGAGGCATAAAAGGCTCACCTTACAAGAAGTGATTATCCCGATCTACTGGGTACTCATCCTTCTTGTAATAAGGCTAACAGTTAAAATTAAGGATTTACCAGCCGTTTCTAGTGAACAGATCCCAAGGTATAATCTTGGCAGCCAAAATGGAGGAGGAGGCGGTGGTAATGTGAGCAACATGTCTTCCAAACCATTGGTTGGTGTTGTGACTAATAACGATCCCCAAGCAAAAGAAGTGTTGTTTGTTTTGAAAAACCTGTCGTCTTCAAGGAATGAATACAAGGAATTCAGTAGTAGCGATGAGATGGTCAACTACTACAGGACATATGGAGAGAGTTTGCAGTTTGGGATGGGAATTGTTTTCGAGAAAGAAAATGAGACACTATCTTACACTCTTCGTATGTCTGAAGGAATAGTGCCAGATTTGAAAACCAAATTAGTAGGTTTAGGTAAGTGGATGAATGAAAGATTTAACAGTTTTATCTCTCATAAGGACTGGGGAGCATTTATTTTTTAAAAGGGGGGAGGCCCAGAGCAATCAGGGAGGGCCATCATCCCATGTTTACACATCTAGTAAGGCTATTAGTATAGGGTTATCAGTATTAAGGCATTCGATCCAAAGTTCTTTCACCAAATACAAGACTGACAAACATTAACAATGGGTAGGTCTGACTCCTTTGAAGAAAGGGATGCCAGGTTGTTGATAGTCTATGTGGATTCCTCAAGCCCTTTCCCCCAATAAGGATCACGCCTCAGTGGTGAGGCCGGATCCCATTGCCTTGTATCTGATCAGCTTTTAGGATTGGTGGGTAATGTTTGTCTGGGTTTTTGGTACTTGTTACAATAGACCCCTTATAGCATGTTCCCTTGCATATATAGCAATTCAATTTGGAATTAATGAATGACGAATATAGAATTCAATTTCATTCTTTAGTGAGGCATACTATTGGGACTTGAACTAAGTGTGCTGTGTGTGTCCACATGAAGTACAATGCAGTAGCTAATGTTTCCAGAAAGGGCACCACAGACTGTAGTGTGGTTGTATGTATGGTTAGTCTGGCTTTAACCAGACCATCTTTTACCATCAAAACCATCTTCCCTGCACTCACACAGAAAATATTTTTAAAAAAACAGACCACTCTAAGCTGATCAGATTATAATATATTGATTTTCTGACAGGAAATAATGACGTACTGTTTTCAGCTAGAGGAATTTTTGTATTCTTTTTTTGCAGGCAAATGTCATAATGTCAAAACAGCACTTCATAATTCTTTTGAGTGCCCAGCAAACCAGTACATCAGCAATAACATAGGTTCTTTTCAGTCTTTCATAGATTCAGCTATCACAAAGGTACAATACATTTCAAATGATATAAACCTGTGTATTATTGTCGGCTCAGAATTAACTTGAGATAGGAGAATAGCAATACAAAACTTAGTATGATTTTGAGCCACCAATACTGGTTTTTATCATTTAATTCTGAAAAGAACGTGCATGATACGGAAAAATACCATGCCTAATATGAAGCCATATCAGCACTTCTCATCTGCTCGTGATCAGGTACCATAGAGTTTAGAGGGAGTTTGAACATTTCTTTGCAGAATTAAATGATAAACAACTTATCATTCAGCTAGGCATCTTATCTTTGCATTTTTATGTGTGTATGTCCTTAATGAGATATGGGCCCGACCAAATGGGTCAGGAGCTGCATATTCCATGTAGCATTTAAAAAATGACAGTGCATATTAGTTCCTACAGACCTTTTAATAATTTAAAAAATTGTAAACTTTACTAGTACATGCAGAACTTTTAAAGTATTTCAGCTACAGTTGTTGTGAGCTAGACAGCTGGGGCGGAATCAAATTGACTTTTGCTTTTTCCTCTTCTCTCAAATGTATTACTACCAATTAAGCACCAGAGATATGGGGGGTGGGCATGTACCTTGTGCTATCTCTTAACTTTGTTGCAAATACTGTATGTGGTAGTGCATGTGGAGTGAACCTGCCAGAAGAAATCCTTAAAGGGCTGGTGATAGTTGTGTGTTTAAGGATCTTAATTTATTTTATGTTTTTTTTACACATCTGATTTAACTTTGTCCACAGGTCTTAGCTGGTTTGCCGTATATTGTCGTACCAAATATTACAGCTCAAATGATGCCTAAAAGAGCCTTTCCCCAGTCCATTGGTGGTTTTGAGCTCACAGTGCCAATATACATGGTTATGGCATTTGCTCCATATATCACCATCCTTCTCGTTAGTCTGGTGATCGAGAAAGAAAAGAAATACAAGGAGTTGCTAAGAATCATGGGAATGAAAGACACAGCTTACTGGTTGTCATGGTTTCTGACGTATGCCCTAATCATACTTCTAGCTGTCATTATCATTAACGCTATTACAGTTCCTGCTGGCGTATTTGGAAATAGCAATTTTTTACTATTGGTTATAGTGTTCTACCTGTATGGTTTGTCATTGATCAACTTTGCATTTCTTCTGACTCCATTGTTCAAGAACTCCATGACAGCAGGAACAGTCGCCAACCTGTCAACAATCATTTTTGGTGTCCTTCTGATTCCTCTGAATAATCCAAATGTACCAAACTTTGCAAAGTGGATAGCATGTCTCCTTTCACCTACCGCTTTTTCCCTTACCCTTACACAGGTATATTACCCATTCATTCCCATTCCCTATTCAATTTTGTATTTTAATTTCTCATTTTCATTTTTTTGTAATTAGTATATTGCAGTAACTCTTCCATTTTTTCTTATTTCTTGCTCAATTTTTAAAATAATTCTTATCACTGATTCTTTTTCTCATTCTTATTTCATCCTAAATTCCAAATCGGTCAGTATATTAAAACTTTTGTGTTGTTAATAATACATTTTAATATAGTATGATATTTTTCCATATTACACTACATGTATTATACTAAAAAAATAATTTGTAGTTACATTTTTTGGAAATACTTTTTTTGTATATTTGACTCTTCCAGGCTGTCGATTCTGCAGGGATAACATTCAGTAATATTTCCACCAAGAGCAGTTTCCCACCTAGTTACAGCATCATCATGATGGTGGTTGATATCTTTCTTTATCTTGGTCTTGCCCTTTATCTTGATGCCGTGGTTCCTACAGAATATGGCAAACGAAGGCCTCCTTATTTCATCTTCATGCCATCTTTTTGGAAAAGCTTGTTTGTTGATGACAAGAATAATGAGATTGCACTCTCAAGGCAGCTATCAGCTAGAAGTGTTCATAACCAGGATGACGTGGAGCAAGTTGGCCCTGAAATGATAGGCAAAGAGGTTATTAGGTGAGAATAATAAATCAGATGTTTACTGGATATTATTTTGATACAAGAATTAAACTGCTGGTCAAAGTGTTGGCTACAGATCGATGCAGCATCTAAAACAATAGACAAACAAAATGGTGTCACATGCGCCATGGTAAAATAACATGTTTGTTGCTACAGCAATTAGACATTCCAAATTTCAAATTAAAAAAGATGGGTTGTTGAGTTAGTACACTGCAGTGCATTTTGGGCCTGTTTTAGGGGACGAAATAGCTGCCTTATATGTTGGAAATATGTGCCAACTCAACCCAGTTTTTTCTCAACCAGAACAGCTAATAATGCTGCTTGCAGTAGTCTCTATTATTGTTTCCATCACAATGTTGTATCAGTGATGTTGTAGTGAGAGGGGGGAGGGGGGGGGGGGGGGGGGGGGGGGGGGGGAGGAGAGGAGGTAGGGAGGGCAAGGGCCTGGCAAAGAAATGTACTAAACCTGTGGATATAATGGGAAGCTCTAAGATCATGAAACATGTTATATACAAGTGTTTATTGGCAGGAAAATATTGTACATTACCCTCCCTCCCACCCCACTTTATAACCGCCAGACTTCACTATACCTCTGTGTTGYATATGCAGCTTTGCACCATGAGTAATTGGAACACATGAAGAATAATTTATGGTGGCATTTTAAACATTTTCCTGTAGCCTTAAATAGAGTGTATTATTTCCAGTTGCTTGATATAAATCTTTCAATTTACAGCATTCATAATATAAAGAAAGTGTTCCCAGGCAAAGAAGAAGTTGTTGCTGTAGATGGTATGACATACATTATTGTGTTTACTATTTGATGGCCATTCATTCAAAATAAATGGATATATGAGTTTCCACCACTTAATGCAATTAATCTTGTACATTTTTTGCCTTCCTTCCAGGTTTTAGTATGGATATTTATGAAGGACAAGTTACAGCATTACTGGGACACAATGGAGCAGGAAAATCAACCCTGATAGCAGCTTTAACAGGAATGATTGAACCAACTAGTGGGACTGCATTGATCTATGGGAAGGATATCACTAATGCTGAAGACATGGAACACATACGAAGAAACATCGGTAAGTACAGAGATAGATCTAGGGGGGGGGTCATTACATGTCTCCATCCCACCTCCAATACTCACTTAGACACACAAACATACAGTATCCAGCCATAAGTCAATCATACATGTTTTGTTGTTTATTGTACAAACCATAGGTGTATGTCCACAACAAGACGTGCTGTTTGATTTCTTGACTGTAGAAGAGCACTTGGACTTGTATTCAGGTCTGAAGGGTGTTCCAGGCGAGGAACGAAAGGAAATGATTAGTGCTGTCATCAAGGATATCGATTTGGAGGACAAGACAAATGATATTGCTAAAAACCTTAGTGGAGGACAGAAAAGAAAACTTTGTGTTGGGATTGCTCTGATTGCGAACCCCAAGGTTTGTACCCATTACTCTTTTCCCATTTCATTTTATCACCAAACAGCAAACCACAGGCATCTCTTGTTTGATATTTAGCACACCAAAACAAGCCATACTTAACTTACTCCTTAAAACAAGTGTGGGAGGTCATTGAGGATCAAACTATGGACCTCTCAATCAGCAGGCAGCACACTAACCAACCAAGCCACAAATAGATATAAAATGTGGAATATAAAAACAGTGCAGTGACTTGCATTCAATACATTACTACTAAGTGTCTGTACTACTTGTAGGTTCTATTCCTTGATGAGCCGACGAGCGGCATGGATCCACAGTCCAGGAGACAGATGTGGTCCTTGTTACAGGAACAAGCTAAAGATAAAGTTGTTTTATTAACTACTCATTTCATGGATGAAGCTGACATATTAGCAGGTTTGTTACCTTAAGGACTTAGCATTCCAAGCCTCTTACAGACTTTGTTGGTCAAAATCTACAACCATTATGCAGTCAACAGATGTCTGCATTTTGGCTGACATTTTATACAAGCACAGGTTATTGATAATTTGATTAACGAAGGTAAAAATCCCAGACATCTCAAGCTATCTAGGTGGCTGAGTTGCTGTAATTATGATAATGGCTGTAACATTCAATGTTTTGGACCAAATGGGTTGAGGGTATTAAACATTGTTATGTGACAGAGTCAAAGGACACTATTTTGGACAGTAATTATTTAGTCATAAATCTATATTTTTAATTAGGAATGCCTCGTGTACACATAGGAATGTAATTCTTTAGTTAACTGTTTGCGTGGAAAATGCGTAAGCAAGAAATAATTTCCGTACGTAATTACATTACAGTGAGTCATGCCTAGGTTT